AGGTTACGTAAGAATTTCGTAGCAGTTTCGTAAGTGTAGCATTTTTCAAAAAGAAAACTGCCGCACGACCTCCTCATTCTCCTCCCGCACGACCTCCTGCTCCTTCGGCAGCCACGCCCTTCGCCGCAGCCCTTCACCGCCGCGTCGCGTCGCCGGAGCCACGTGAAGCCTCTGCGGGTCGCCGCCTCCCCAGCCGCGGGAGCCCGTCCCTGCCGCGGGTCGCCGCCTCCCATGCCGTGGGTCGCCACCTCCCCAGCCGCGGGAGCCCGTCCCTGCCGCGGGTCGCCGCCTCCCCCGGATGCTCCTGTACTCCTGATTCTCCAATCTACATTGGCTTGATACAACATACGAATTCAGGAAAAGGTCAAAAGAAATTGGTACCAGGCTTTGTGCCACTGCCCACTTTCCCTGATTGCTAAATTTATTTTATGCTTCTGTCGATATTACAACAGTCAACAAAGCAGGGAACCAATCCAGCTTCAAGCTCCAGGTGCTTTTGTTTCAGGATCATGCTATAATTAATAAATTGTTTGTGTGCTAAGGTATCATCTAGCTAGGAATTATTTATCGAGGAATGACTCCATGTCTCCATCTACCACACTTCTAGACAATATCACCTGGTATGATTCCGGTGTCGAGTCTCCTCACGTAAGCGTGTCACGAACACAACTTAAAGCCTTAAACTGCAGCCGCTCCTTGGGTAATGATAAACAACTGCTACTCACATCTCACTCATATTGTGCCAACAGTAATTTTTGTTTATCCTACAGATAAAGAAGCACCAAAAAGGCAAAGGGAAAATGCCCGGTATGAGCAAAATAAAGAAAGGATGTTAGAAAGCTAGAGCTGCATTTATTTTTCAGTTGCAGCTTAGCTAATGTTTCATCTGGTTTATTGCGCCAAACTTTTGTCTCGGGTTCTTTATCACATGGATTATTGCACTCAATCCCAGTTTATACCTACATATGATATTGCATTTACCCTTGTACCTTTCAGTTCCATGGTTATTGTAAAGCATCCACTATTGTTGCACACATACAAGTAGTTGTATTCACAAATCATCTTTTGTTTCCTATTATCCTCAATAGAATGCTATTTTATGCTGATCGAAGTTTGTACTAATACATAACTTTGTAGTCCGCAGAACCAAAATCCTTTGACCTGATCTCTTTGCAGGTGAAAATTTATATTTTACTACGCAGATGTAGAGTTGGCTTTTGTATAAGGAAATAAGATTCGAGAAATAAGCAACTTAAACACAGCAATTGAAGATTTTCAAGTCAGATTTACCAACTTCAACAGAGAATTGGCTTTTGTAGAAGGAAATATGATTCGAGAGGTAACCAACTGTAGATTTCCAAGTCAGATTTCTACATGCCTAATAAGTGCATTTTATTTTTCCACTACTTCCAAGTCAGTTTTACCATGTTCAGTTGAGAACCAACCATGCTTGTACGGAGGAAAAATTGAGCAAGTACTGTTTTTGTGTGTACATTTTTTTCTGACAGAATCATATATGTCCAAATATATATCATCCTCCCCTCACGTCACATACCTATATGATTACAAGTATCACATACCAATATATCTTAGAAAGTGGGCTTTGAAATCTGCACTGATCTTCACAATCATGTCATCTGATAGAAGTCTATTGAATTTCAATTATATTTTGCTGTATGTTATCCGTGATGTAAGTGCAGATAGGAAGTTCCATTTTTTTAAATGCATCACAAGGAGGATGGTCACCAATGATTTGACATGATAAGATGTTTACATAATTATTTGTGGCCATTTGACATGATAGGATGTTTTTGAAGTATGACAAACTATGACATTAGCAATACTTATATTTACATATATTCATATATCGTTATATACTTTGGCTTGTGGAAACTAGGAATTGCTTTCGACTAACATGTAATGGAATTTCTGAGAGGGGAGATCTGCATCTATGTTACAGGGATCGGACGGGAGAAATAGAGAAGGACAGACGATTCCTGCAGGAGGAGCAAGAGTCCTTGCACGTAGACACCCTCCTGTTCTCCCTACACCATGGAATCCCATCGTCTAATTTTGGTCGCTCTTGTGAGTTTTTATTCCAATCATATCCCATATCCGCTGAAACTGAAGGTGATCCGGCTACCATGTCATGGATTCAGGGTAGTGCGTGGGATTTCCAGTAGAAGAGTAGCTACTCACAAGCTTGATGCCGCAAAGGCATCTTCCTACTCTTCTGAGAACTTCCACCAATAAGCTCCACGCGCTCCTGCACCTTCTTGTGAGTCAGGTTAAAAATATGTGGTTTCGTGCTTTTACTACATCTTTGGTGCAGCCTATGATGTGCGCACGTAGTTAATAATTTGCATTGAGATGAGTTACTCAAAACTTACTTCACTTTAGCCTATCTTGATTTATATCTCTTGCTCACCTGTCATGTTCCCTGCTTAAGTTTCCAGGGAACACCAAGCTGCATTTTGTATTCAGTTGACCAGTTCATAATTTATTCATTATCTCGTTTTTATCCAGTTCTTTATTTTGGTTATTCAGATCCAATTCGGACTTATTTGTCTGGTTTATTCTTGTTCCTTTCAGGCTTCAATCTTGAAAGAAATTGAGGTTCAAAGAAGGATTCACATTCTGATCAACCTGCTTGGTTACTAGGTTTGGTTGGTGATGTTGTTTATTTTTTAATACATGATGCATGATCCTCTTCTGTAGAGCTCATTTGATGGGGAAACTTTCTATAAGTTGCATGAATTGGTTTCTCTTTATTGTTTTATTCCGAACGTATCATCACCAGCAGATCTAACTTCTCATTTCTGCTCAAGAGTTGCATGCGAGGCAAGCAAATATTGCGGCGCAATGCTTGGCTTTGTAATGTGTCATGTACTATTTCTATACACGTGAAATTCTTGAATTATTTATAGCATTAGTCTAGACGTGCGTTCCACGTGCACGCTTACTAGGATCCCTCCACCAGAATCATCTGATCACTGGATCTAACGGCCAAAAATCTTTCTGTGTTTAACACCAACCACTGCTGGGCGGAAGCCAATCCCGCTAATCCCCACTAACCCCACCAATCGACCCATAATCCCTCCACCAGAATACCCCAGTGCGCACGCACCCCCTCTAACCCGACGGTTTCTCGTATGCGCGCGCCGCCGCCCGCCTGCTCCGGCCCGCATGCCCATCCTCGCATGCGCCGCTCCACCGCCAACCCCGCGGTTGCCCGCTGTTGACCGCCGCCACTTCACCGGGCTGCGGTGCCACCCCGCCCGTTGAACCCGCTCGCCCATCCCCGCACAACTGCCGGAGCCCAGCGCGAGAGCCACCCCGCGGCTGCCTGCCGTCGACCCCGTGGGCTGCTTCACCAACGCCCGCCGTCACTTCACCTGGATTGATCGCCCGTCACCGTCATGCTGCCACGTCTACGTTACCGCCGCTCGGCCACTTTACAAGCTACTCAACTATGCCTTTGCCACTGCCACTCTGCTGCTTCAGTGGATTTGTACTCTGACAACACACAGACCTTGAGTTCGACGAGGGCCTCCATGAGGACCTTGACCTGGTCCTCCGCCGCGGGAGCCCCGCCGCAGGTCGCCGCCCTTCGCTGCGGGAGAGCCGGAGTTGCGCGCCGGGGGAGCCCCGCCGCAGGTCGCCGCCCTTCGCCGTGGGGAGAGCCGGAGCCGCCGCCCTTCGCCGCGGGAGAGCCGGAGCCGCCGCCTGTCGCGCGCCGGGGGGAGAGCCGCCGCAGGTCGCCGCCCTTCGCCGCGAGAGAGTCGGAGCCGCTGCCCGTCATGCACCGCGGGAGCCGCCGCAGGTCTCGCCATCACAGGTTATCCCCTCATGCTTCTCCCTCAACTCTCCCAATAGGTAGGTTAATTGGATTCCTGACTTCTTTCTTTTTGTTGTTGATTGTAGTGATAAATATGTCTCCTGATTGGATATAGACTTGCCTCAACGATTGGTCCTGCTGCAGTTCATGTACCATTTGCAAACTTAACTACCTCTCTGTCATGTAGTTTCTGACGATCTTTTATGTGCCATGTCGACAAGGCCACAAGGGTGATTGATAAAAAAATCCAAGCAGACTCCATGTGAGGTGAATCAAGGTAATCAATATGTAGTGAATGGGATAAACTCCTCTCCCTCATGTTGTCGAATTCTCCGTTCTGTCTTTTAGGCTGGTTGATGTGCTTTGATTCGTGATCTGGGTCGGCGCATCTGTCGTTTTCGGTTGCAAAGGCGCGCTAGCTCATGCCTCACTTGGGTGATATTTTTTT